TGAAGATGCATGTTCTGAAATAAAGCTAATACAGTTGGGATACTCAGCCTCTCCAAGAACACCACAGGCATAAACTAGTGCTGAAGGGTAATACTAGGAAAGAGAGCAAATATCTTTTGTTTTAGATTCGTGCGTTAGTGCGAGAGCGTGGAGAGCAGGATAAAAAGCTTCAGGCTCTGGATGAGGACTTTGCTAAGATGGAAGCAAAGCTGAGTGCTGCGGTTCAGGAGAAAACGTCGCTTCTGGCAAACGTTGCGGGCCTCAAGAAGCAGCTCCTGGAACTGACGAGGACCAACAGCCTGCTGAAGTCAAAGGTATTCTCCCAGATGCGTGCGTCTTTGCGTAGGCTTTGTTGTGAAGCTCCCTGGGCACGAGGAAGCTTGAGGTGCCGATCAGCACGTGCTTTCACATTCCCCGTGCCCCTTCCTTGGCGCAGGGCTGGAGCCTGTCTGCTCTGGGGTCTTGTGCGCCTCTGCCTAGAGACAGAGCGGGCCCTGCTGACGTCCTTCTCGGGGACGGGTAGAGATGAGTGCTGTGGCTGGGGGGGAGACGCTTTTGGAAGGGCGTGTGAAGAGTAATGCGTGTGAAGGAGTTACGCTTAGTGACTTTCTGTTCATCTCTGATCAGCTGTCTGCAGATGGCACGCAGAAGAAAATGAGCAGCCTATGCATGGAGCTAATGAAGCTCAGAAACAAGAGATGTGCTAAGGAAAAGGTAGGAGCGTTTGCGCTGCACAGGGTAGCAGTTCTGAGCTGTTGAACAGACGAGGGAGGGCTTACAGCAGAGCTGCAGCTCGTGGTTTGTTTCTGTCCTCAGCTCGGTAGTTTCCTCTGCTTTCTGTAGAGTGAAAACAGAAGGGAAGAGCAGACAGCGAAGGTTCTTGATTTTGCTCTTGAGGCGCAGAGTAAATCTGAGTTCAAGTGCAGAAGCCTAGAAGTACCTCTGCTGCAATATCACTCTGTTGGTCAGGTCATTAATTCCTTCATCAAACAGTGGTCAAAGTACCGTTTAAAGCTCTTCCACGCGTTTGCGTTTCTCAGGTGGTGGTGGCTGTTGCTGTTTGAACAAATACCGGGTGTCTGTACAGGGGGATGCTTTGAATCAGGGTCAGCAGAGTAGCAAGTGCCACCATTAAATTGCAGTTATGAATTCATTTCTGCTTCCCGCTGTTAGACGATTGATTTTGTCTTTTAGCAAATCTCATTTTGGTGGTAACATTTGGTTTTTGGGGCTTTTTTCAGACTGCGCTTGCAAAGCAGGAAGACATGGAAGCGAAGCTGCAGGAAGTGCAAAGGAATCTAGAGCATTCGAAAGGAAAAGCAGCACAGCTGGAAGAAAAACTGTAAGTAGAGAGGAAGGGAATGGGCTTAGGTGACGTGATGTCGTCTAGCTGGGCTTATGTGCTTGCACCTTAGAGTAAGCACATAGTTGAGGGAAAACACAGGCCTCCTCCCTGCTGAGAAGAAACAGAAATTATTAGTGTCTGTGACCTGGAATAAATCTGGTGGAATGAAGTTTTAGGCACGGCTGTGTTCCTGTAAAACGGACACACAAAACATTGTTCCTCTGGTCTAGCTGCCCTTTTCCAACAGACAAACCGTGTTGGTTGGAGCCAGTACCGGTTGGCCAGCCAGCTGGATTGTGAAAAGTATGCCTTACGTCTGAGGCGTGACTCAAGGATTGATTTTCACTTGCTTACCTGCAAACAAATAGCTGACAGGTAGCTCTGAACTTTCAAATACATCCGTCATGACAAATTCTTGGCTTTAGGTCTGCTGCTGAGAGAGAGAAAGCTAGACATCTGTCTGACATTGAAAACCTCCTGCAAACTCCTGGAATGTATCAGAGAGCTCAGGTAAGAGCACAACGTTCTTTATTTGGACCGGCTGAGTTAAAAGGCAGTAAAACTAAGCCTGGCTGATGGCTGCTGAAGTCGAACCTTAATGTATCAGAGAGCTCAGGTAAGAGCACAACGTTCTTTATTTGGACCGGCTGAGTTAAAAGGCAGTAAAACTAAGCCTGGCTGATGGCTGCTGAAGTCGAACCTTGGCAACAATTCTGTTTAACAGTATTAAAATAGAGCGGGTTGGGGGAGGGGGAAAGCAATCGGATGTTTTTCCACACAGTGGAAAGGAGTTGTAAGATATTCTTTTAATTATCTTTCTAAATGTCTCTGCTTTCCTGGGCCAAGCAGCACTATGGAAGAGTCTTGTATCGGGGTCCTGAAATCGCGTTTCTAGCCTGAGTGAGTTGTACGTAAATGAAGGGAACTCCTTTTCCTCTAAGGCACTGGCAGAAAAACAATGTACAGTAGGGCAAATGCCCCCTGCCCCCCCCTCAGTCTGGGCTTCCGGTGAACTTTGCGATGCTCTGATGTGAGAGTTGTGATGACTTACGGGTACCTGAGCATCAGGCAGGTTCCAAACATTACTCATCCAGAGCTTTGTAACCAGTTGTCTTCCCAGGAAAGTGTCCCTAGCCCAGAACAGGGTGAAAACACAAAAGGGTATGAATTGAACTAGTTCACTCTTCGTCCCCCGCCACCACTGTGAATTTACTCAGGAAGAGATTCCTCACAAACTGGCTGTGTATCTTAGGATTCTGCTTATTCTTGTAAAATCCGGCTTATTAAAGTGTATGTTTTTCTGTCCAGACTCAGCTTTGTAAAGAAAGTGGATGTAGCAGTCCTTTGTCAATCATTTCTGGTGGCTAATTGTGTTCTAGTCAAACCTTTCCATTTTATTCGTGTGACGTTGAGTTTCTTTTAAAACAAAAGGTCTGTGTTGAAATGAATTGCTTTGCATTTTAGCTAACCTGTCTCAATGTGCAAAAACTTGTGTCTGGGGAGGCAGGAGAAGGCCGTTTTCCTGTTGGAAACCAACAGTCCTAAGCATTTTTCCCTTGTGCTGAAGCGTAAGCTCACACACCAAATTCGTGGTAACAAACACCTGAATTTTCTCCTGCAGCACTGTTGCAGACACAGTCGAGAAGTACAAACTGGATGCTGCCCGGATGGAAGAGGCGCTGCTAAAGAAAGACCAAGACATCGAGGTCCTGAGGGATACCCTCAGAAAAAGAGAGGAAGAATCTTTTGAAGTGATCAAAGGACTTAATGAAAGGTGTCAGCTGCTTGAAGAAGAGAAAGGTAACTGTTAGTCCTTGTGTGCTGTTCATATGTGGGACAGCTAATATGTCTGCAAGCACCTCAGACAGGTTGGGTGTCAAATGCCGTTTTCAGCGGGTGTGTTCCAAGTTAAGTCCTGTCTCTGAGCTCCAGCTGAAAACGGCTAGGCGTGTTTCACCAGTGTGGAAGCTCCCCGGAATCTGACATCTGTTAAGTCTGAATTTCTGTTTCGGTGGAAGGTTACTAAGGTAGAGAGTACAGACATGGAAACTGTTGCCGTAGTGGGAATGGCTGCAGCCTGAAAGCTGCGAACAAACGACTTGTTCCTCCTCTTCCTGGAGAAGCAGCACGACATTGTCCCCACCCACCGTTAGCAGCTTGCGCGCAAGTTTGTGGGGTATCGGGAATGTGTCGAGGGCTCCTTCTTCACCTCTTGGCCCCTCTCCACCAGACCCAGCCACTGTGCAGCCTGAGGCTGGTACCCAGTTCTCTGTTCACTGCTTGGCTTCTGCCTGCTGGCATTCTGTGCAAGAAGCTTTGGGGAAGTCATTGAGTTGTTTTTCCCCAACCGTCCTGCTTTCTGATGAAGGCAGGCGAATTGCTTGGTCCAAAGATTCCCGCTGTTCACATTATTTTGGAAGTGGTGACTTTCAGCCAGTTTGGAGGAGTTTCCAGCTGGGTTAAAGATGTGGGTTGGTTTGGTTGTGGTGTTTTGGCCAGGGCCTCACCACCCTCATTGTAAAAAATTCTTCCTTCTATCCAGTCTAAATCTGCCCTCTTTGAGTTGAAAGCCATTGCCCCCTGTCCTGTCGCAACAGGTCCGGCTAAAAAGCCTGTCCCCATCTTTCCTACGGGCACCCTCTAAGCACTGCCAGGCTGCTCTGAGGTCTCCCCAGACCCTTCCCTTCCCCAGCCTGAGCAGCCCCAGCTCTCCCAGCCTTTCCTCCCAGCAGAGGGGTTCCAGCCCTCGGATCGTTGCTGGGGCCTCCTCTGGCCCCGCTCCCACAGCTCCAGCTCTGTCCTGTGCTGAGGGCTCCAGAGCTGGACGCAGGACTCCCGGGGGGCTCTCAGCAGAGCGGGGCAGAGGGGCAGAATCCCCTCCCTGGCCCGGCTGGAGGACAGAGAAGGGAGTTTGTGTTATATTGACGATTCCTCTATGCAGAGAAGGAGTTATCTGAGAGCAGAGGAAAATTCCTGAGTATGAATGCTCACATAGAAGACCTGAAAAAAAGAATCAGGTTAGAAGAACGAGAACGCAAAAAACTGCTGCAGAAACATGAGGAGACAGTCTCTCAGCTGCAGCAAGAGAAGGTAAATACAGACTATCCATTAGTCTGCAGATAGACTCCCATCCCAGTGCCTGGAGCTAAAGGTTCTGAATTTGGTTCCACGGTGGATGGCTGAGTCAATCATTGTCTGATCTGTGGAACGTACGAGTGGGTGCTGGCCAGCAGAAACCGTGTGTGGTCGAGAGCTCGAAGAATCCTAGCTGGTGTGGTGGGGTATTTTGGTTCTTCCTCTAGGCTTGACCTTATTCTTGTGCTTTGAACGCTGCAAGTTGGTGTTTAGTATCTCGAGAAGTAACGGTGTCTTTAAACTCTGCCATACTCTGGCACACAGGAGGCGTCTGCAGCAGCGCACCAGAAGCTACGAGAGTTTCAGCCGGAGGTAACAAGTGAGAGACGTCTTGAGGAGCTGAATGGCACAAGGAAGGAGCTGAATAAATTACATGCGAAACGGAAAAGAGCTGAAAAGCCGGTGAAGCAGCTGGAACCAGAAATCAAAGTGCGAGATGTTGAGCTTGCGC